CTGCACCTGATTTCCATATCTGTGGAAGGGGACTGCTACAGTGCCCCTCCCCGAGGTCCCTCTGGGGTCCATACCTCACGTGGTCCCTGCCCCTCCTGTAGGAGGAGGCAGAGGCACTGGTGGCGCTCCAGGGCCAGCTTCAAGAGGCCCAGGACACCACAGAAGCTCTCCGAGTCCAGGTGGGCACTGGGCCCAGGGGCTGGGAAGACGGAGGCACTGGGAGGGGGGCGTCTGAGGCGGGGCCTGGTAAGTGCCTGTGTCCTCAGTGATGGGTGGGGTGGGTGGGGCAGCTGGGGGTGCAGGAGGTGCAGCTGCAGGGCCTTCGGGGGGCCCTCCGGCAGCTCCAGCAGGAAACTGAGCAGAACTGCCGAAGGGAGCTGCGGCAGGTGCACGGGCAGCTGGCAGGTAAGACCTGGGGCTGGGGGCTTCCGGGGAGGCCACGGGGTTTGGCGTGCCCTCACAACACCCTGCCCCACCAGGACTTCGGGCACACATGGCCAGCCTGCGTCGGGGCTGTGGGGACCTCCGAGGCCTGGTCAGCACCTTTACCCAGAGCTGTCAGGGTTCACTGAGCGAGGCCCGGGGCCAGGTCAGGACCCCTGCTCCCTCTGGCGCATGCTCTCTGGGCAATCCAGTCACTCCCCTTCCCTTCCCAGCTGCAGGGAGTTGCCTGCTGCAATGGAGGCTGTAGGCTCTGGAACTGGGAAAATTTCTGTGACCCGGGCTGGGATTTTACTTCTGGGTCTCGTTCTTTGTCCTGTGTAAACTGGGGTGACAGTGACTTTTTCAGGCCTGTTAAGAGCCCAGAGAAGACATGGTGTCCTTGCCCACAGTCCTCTGGATTCTTGGGCCCCATCCTTGGCCCAATGAATGATGCCCCCAGGGCCCAAAGCTGCCAACAGTTGTGGGTTACTACAGCTGGTGGCCATGTGGTGGCTGCATATTGCCCTCTGCACCCTACCCCGCCCCAGCTCCTTGGCTGTCCATCCAGTACTTTCCTCATATCCCTGCTCCCCCAGGTATCCTGGGCCCTGGGGGCACTGTCAGCCAGTGGAGCTGGAACGCAGCTCCCCCAGGAGCAGCAGGGGCCCCCAAGTGGATGCCCAGGGCGGCTGCTGGAGCTCAAGGGTATGGCTGGCTTGGGGAGCGCAGGGTGGTACGGGCAGGCCTGGGGAAGGGGGCCCTCTCCTTGCTTCCGGGCCCGGCAGGCAGTCTACTGACCTGATCGCCACCCCAGGAAATATCCGTGTGCTGTGTCGGCTGAGGCCAGGGACACCCTCCAGCCTGGTGAGCTCGGAGCCCGGCCCGGGCGGCACTGTCACCACCTGCTATCGAGGGCACCAGCACCGCTTCCGCCTGGACTGGGTCTTTCCTCCAGATGCTAGCCAGGAGGAGGTGATGCTCTACCCTTATAGCTGTGTTGATCGTCTCTTGGAGTTCCTGGGACCCCCAGGGCTCTGGTCCCCTTCCGTGTCCTGGCTAAATTCCAGTAAGGGAAGAGGAGGTCTGGGAGGCAGGTCTGGCAGTGGAGCTGGGCACCTCCTTTCCTTCCAGGGCTTTCCCTTTGTCCCCTCACCAAGCTCTGCAGGCCCAGGGGAAACATCTGCTGGCTTAGACAGGAAGGTTAACACTTCCACAAATAATTTTTTGCTGGGAAACTGGGAAAACGAACCTGTCTGAGGTGACGATCGCTGCTCAGGCAGAGCTGGCCGTGGAGCGCGGCTGGGGTGCTGCTGTGGTGGGGAGTGCTGGGACCTCCTTCACCCCAGCTTCACTGGCTGCCCACTCACAGCCTGCTGTCTACAGTCGGCCAGCTGGGAGGGCAGGCACCCCCTCCCTTGCTTGGTGGCAGAGGGGGTGCTGGAGCAGACCCCACCCTACTGTCCAACCCAGCCCCCCACCACCCTGTTTCGCACTCGCTCTGTGACACACAGACTTTGCCACAAGAGCTGCCATAGCTCAGGAAACAGGCGCATACCTGGGAGGGGCCAGGTATCGGGCAGAGCCGGCAGACTCAGAGCCCTGCTGGCTTCAAGGGACCATGGTGTGATGATCACCCGGTGGGTGGCCAGGGGTCCCTCCAAACTCTGCGGCACCACAGCTATTCTCCACCGTGTACTACCCTGGGGCCACAGCCCTGGACAGGGCCCTCCATTCTACATGTCTGAGTAAAGGAGCCTGAGGGAGGCATTTACCACGCAGCCCCGCACATGAGTCTCGTATCTCTGCGATGGCACCGGTCATCCCCAGTGCTTCCTTCCAGTTATGGAATCTTAGTGACTTCATTAGCAATTTTGCCCTCACTTCATGCACAAGTGACAGCCCACTCAGTCACTACCCACCTTCTGGGCATGGAAGCTGGCCATGTCATTGCTCTAAAGGACGCTGTTGGTGTCCAGTTGCCAACAAGACACAAGCCCCAGACCCCTCTCCCTCTCAGCAGCCTCCCTGCACCCTTCCAGGGCCCAGGTTCCAGCAATCCTGGGGGCCACCGTCCCCCACACCCTCCGCACAGGGCCTTTCTGGGCTCATCCCTTTGACACAGGGTGCTCTTCAACCTTCATGACAGATGTCACTGTGGTGCTCACCACACATGCATGGAAAAATGACTTGCCTCCAGTCATACCCTGGGGTTTGAACCTGGCAGTCTGGGCTCTTGACTGCTGCTCCCCTGGGCCCCAAGTGGTCCCATCAGGACTCCAATACTGGCCATCGCCTGCTCCCACTTCCTGTCGTACTTCTCTTCTTTGCCTGGCAAATTCTTGCACGTGCTACCATCTCCAGGGAGCCTTCTCTGCCTTCCAGCGAGCTCCCCCAGGGCCATCCTCCCAGGGGAATCAGCTTGACTCACACTTTGCCCAGGCCCGGGGCTCAGGAGCCTCCCCCCATATCCCTAGGTCTTCAGGGAGCTGGAGCCCACTGTGCTGTCCTGTCTCCGAGGCTACAGTGTCTGCATTTTCACCTATGGTCAGACGGGGACCGGGAAGACCTACAGCATGGAGGTGGGAAGGTGGGGCTCTGGGTGGCTCCTGGGTCCAGGGACTGGGATGTGAGCCCGATGTGGCACCCCACACCGTCCCCAGGGCCCACCTGAGGACCCTGGCATAGCTCCTAGGGCACTGCAGTCACTGTTCCGGGAGATGAGGACAGGAGGGCAGCACCGTGTGACGCTCAGCATGGTGGAGATCTACAACGAGGCTGTCAGGTCAGGGCTGTGCCAGGGCTGCCTCCTGCCAGCCCTCTCTGGCCCCTGGCCCTTCCACCCCCTCCCCCAAGAACCGGGAACCAAGCCTTCCCCTTTCTCACCAGGGACCTCCTAGCCCCAGGGCCTCCCGAGCGTCTGGCTGTGAGGCAGGGCCCAGCAAGCCAGGGAGGAATCCAGGTGGCTGGCCTCACCTACTGGGACGTGCCCGACCTGGAGACGCTGCACCAGGTAAGGCTGCCCAGTGGGCCGTGCATTCCTCCAAGGCCCCGCCCCGTGCTTGCGCCCGCGGGTGTGAACCCTGGGACAGCGCCTTGCAGCAGGACAGCCTTGTGGCCGCACCCTCCAGATGCTGAGCTTGGGGAGGAGCAACCGGGCTACCGCCGCCACCGCCATGAACCAGCACAGCTCGCGCTCACACGCACTGGTCACGCTGACGCTGCGCGCGGCGTCCCCTCTGCGCGGCTCAGGCACCGCAGGTACCACGGCCTGCGCCATGCCCTGCAGGGGGCCTCGCCACGCGGGAGACTGGCGCCCCCTCCACGTGGGTTCGCTCGCCCCTGCAGGCACGCTGCACCTGGTGGACCTGGCTGGATCCGAGCGTGCCTGGAAGGCGGGGGCGGTCTGCTCGGCGCGGGGAGACCCTGACAGCGCCCAGCGTCTGCGGGAGGCCCGGACCATCAACCGCTCGCTGCTGGCACTGGGAGGCGTAATGGCCGCGCTGCGAGCCCGCCGACCACACGTGCCCTTCCGCGATTCGCAGCTCACGCGCCTGCTGCAGCCCGCGCTCGGCCCTGGCGCCACCGCGGTGCTACTGCTGCAGGTGAGCGCCGCGGCGGGGGCGGGGCCCGGGAGGGTGTTTTGCATGCCAGGCACCACCCACTCGCGCGGTCCACCAGCACCACTTCCCCGCAGATCTCCACGCGGCCTGAGGACCTCGGCGAGACCGTGTGCTCACTCAAGTTCGCCGAGCGAGTGGGCCAAGTGGAGTTGGGGCCGGCCCAGCGCCGTAGGGCCCCGCGTTCCGGGACGCCCTCCTCCCTCAGCACCGATACACCACTCACCGGGACCCCCTGTACCCCCACACCGTCCCCAGGCAGCCCGCCAAGCCCCGGCCCTGACAGCGGCTCCAGCTCGGCCCTCGCCCCGCCAGAGGACCTGCCCTCTTAGTCCTGCCCAAGGAATCTGGGGTGGCGCCTCTGCCGGCAGAGGCAACAAAATCCTTGAACACCCACAACCTCTTTGACCTCTGGGGCTCATTACCCGCCCCGCTACCCCCACACACACTGCGAGGAAGAGTGCTCCGCCAGGGGGAACAATTGCCTGCCCCCTGGGCCAGGCCCTCGGCTCTCTCCTTATCACCATTTGCTGTTATCACAGCACAGCAGGGGATCCCAGAGCTGCCCAGTCACCACCCCCCGCCACCAAAAATCAGACTTGGCATTAAAATGTCGTCCGTTCCTTTACTGTACTCTTCCCCACTACCACCACCGAACCAGGTATGGTACTCGTTCCCTATGCCCTTTCCCCAAAAAGGTGCTACCTCCTTCCGAGACAGCTGAGGGAGGCTCGGACTTCTGGCTGGAGCAGCCATGAGGTTTTCCCTCCCCCAGCCCAGAGCCAGGGGAGGGGAGGTGACAGATGGTGATGGATGGATGGGTAGACAGAGGGCCAGAGAAGGTGGGACCAGGAAGGGGACAGGAAGGGCTACTCTAAGTGGAGCCTGCTCCTCCCAGCCTTGCCTCCAGGGTAGGAGAGGCATGACTGACCCTCAGGGCCAGGGTGGTGCCCACCTGGACAGCAGCCCTTTGTGGGGTAGGCTAATAAACGTTGCGGACTCTCAGCATGGCTGGTGCCTGGTGTTTCAAGGGTGCTGTGGCCACAGACACCTCTTGGTCCTCTTGGCCTTGGTTCTCCCTCAACAAACTCATGGTGACAGGAGAGGGTGGGAGAGGAAAGTGGCCTGTGTCGTCCTCACAAGCTGTACCAGGAGAGGAGCCAGCCTGGGGTGGGAGCAGTCAGTTCCCGGGGGTGGCTAACCCACACATCATAGATGCTCTTGTTGGGTGGCACGCCCTGGAAGAGGGCATCCAGATCCCAGAGCAGTCCTGGGGGGCTGTGGGTTTCAGGGGCCATCCCCCAGTAGGCTGGGCTGGCTGAGGGTGGGCACTGGGGGCAGGAGGTGGGTGGTAGTGGGGCCAAAGGCATTACCACATTGGGGGTATAGATGGGCAAGTAGGAGGTGGGTAGCTGCCCCCAAAGTGAGGCCCCGTGACCCCCACTGGATAGTCCTCCAGGGTCTGGGGTACCCTGCAGTAAGTGGAGGGGCCAGGCTCTGGGCTCAGGGGAGAGAGGTGAAGGCCTGCTGGATCCCCCCTGAGAAGTCTCCCCCTCTGCTCTCATGGTCCCGGGGAGAGGGCAGAGGGGCCACAGAGGCCTCTCAGAGGGCAGGGGCGGTGTGGACACCACCTCCTCCTTACTTGTCAAGGAACCCACCCGGCCTGGACTGCTCTGTGGTGTGCCCTCCACTGGATCCCCCAGCAGAGACTTTATGCTGAAGCCTTCGCTGGGCGGCCTGGGCGGTCGGTAGGGCCGGCCATGCAGCACATAGGGGCTCAGGTCCTTGGCGAAGGCCCCTCGTGCTCCCCGGCTTTGCCAGCGCCGGCATAGGGCCGTGTTCTGCAGCCGCAGCGCCTCGGCGGGAATTAGGCTCACGTCGACAGCCCAGAAGTTGCCCTTGGCCTTGGGCTTCGTAGGATCCTTGGGCACCTGGTTGGGGGGGCAAACTTAGTGGGGCCGCGAACCTGGATACTCAGAATTTCCGCCCCCGCCCCCGGCTCCAGCTCCGGCTCCGACCCTCGCCCAGCCCCACCTTGCGGAAGCATCGGTTGGAGGAGAGGTTGTGGCGGATGGAGTCCTTCCAGCCCTCGTAGTCGTCCCTGAAGAAGGGGAACACGGCCTGGACCTGACGGATGATCTGAAACCACAGGGAGGCCGGCAGGCACCGTGAGCCTGGGCGCGGATGGGGGCAGCGCCGCCCCTCCCCCACAGCCGGGCTCGGTGCGCGCCTGCCTGCTCCCCCAATACCTCTGAGCCCGAAAGAGAAGAGGGCTACCGGGAAGGGTCCTGCATGAGTACCTCTGCTCTGTCCCGGGGTGCCCAGGCCAGGACCGGCCGTACTGGCATAGATATAGCTGGGTAGGGCCAGGTGGGGGTGAGGCCGGAACCTGAGCCTGGGAATAGGTGGGGGACGGGTCTGGGGGAAGGTCTGATCCTCTCACCTGGGCCAGCTTCAGCCTGCGGGAAGGTGCAGCCTGGATCACCAGGGCGATCATGGCCAAGTAGGTGTAGGGGGGCTTGTCATGCCGCAGGTATCTCTTTTTCCTCCTCTTGGGTGGCTGGGAGGGCGAGTCTGCCCCCGGGAGCACCAGGCGCGGGGTGCTGCAGGGCCCCATTAAGTGGAGGCCCTCAACGTGGGCAAGCGGCCTGGCCCAGTGGAGGGCGCAGGGCAATGGGGCAGTGTGATGAGGCAGGGCCAGGGCCAGGGCCTGAGGCCGGGTGGGGGCAGGCGGGCCGGGCCCTTTATCATTCGGATGGAAGGGGGAGGGGAGGCAAAGGGAGGGTGGAATACAGCAGTGGGGGAGGGGAGCATGCAGAGGGCTGCCACAATTAGCAGGTTTCGGTTAATCTGGAAGGGAGGGGCAGGGAAGATTCCAGTGGGGGTTGCAGGCGGCCACCCAGGCCTCATTTCTCACCCCTGGGCTGCCTTCGGCACCCCCTACAAGCTGGAAGGAAAAGCCCCTGGAAGGAGCCCATGACCCACAGTTACTTTATCAGTCTGTCTGGGCTCAGTCATAGACTCCCATTTAACAGACTGGAAAGTGATTTGTACTAGCCAAGCTGCCAAGGATGGGTGGGGCCTACTCAGAGTTCAAGGTCAAGCAGCTAGAAAGATCTGAGTGGTGCTCTGGGAGGGCTTCCTGGAGGAAAATTCAGGAACAAAGAAGGTACACAGTTGACTCAAGTGATTTCCCCAGGGGCTGCTCCTGGGCCTCTGTGAGTTCCCCAGGCCCCGGAGGCCACCTTCCTCCCCTCTTGGTGTCTATCATCAGTGGTTCCTGGGAGCTGACTGCCCTGATTATTTAACTGTGCACCTAACTAACTGGCCCTGGGTGAACTGGACCTGCGGGCTCTCATTCCTCAGGGGCACTCAGGCAGTGCCCCCAGGAGAGCCTTCAAGGACCACCTGGCTCCACCCTGGGTGGAAGAGAGTGCAGGTGTTGTGTGGGTACACAGGAAGGGCTCACCAGGCAGCCACAGGGCTCTGTGGCTTAGTCTAGAAGGAGGAAGGTGTTCCTCAGACTGGTGGAGGCTGGCCTAAGTGGATGGGGACACTCTAGGAGAGGGAGTGGAGGCTCAGGTAGGGGAAGCCTGAGGGTCCAGCACCCTGTGCTTGGGCCTGCTCACAGCCTCTGAGGGCTTTAGCAGGGATGGGACCTGACCCTAAGGTGTGGTCCTAGAAAAAATGTGTCTGGCAGCTGCCCAGAGACTTACCAGTCCTCCTAACTCCCAGACCCTCTTCTGTCCCCTCACCTCCTCCCTGGCTATCTGGTCTGTGGCTCTGCTCCTCAAGTCACTCAGCGCCTGTGCTCTGTACCCTGCTTGGAAGCCCAGGTACTCCCCCGTATATACCAGGCAAGGGGAATCAGGCCCAGGCACTTGCAGTGGTGGGTGGTGTTGGTACCAGGGCCCCCTGACCTGAGGGAGGTCGGGGGAGCAGAGACACACTTTATATCGCTTTACTCCAAGAATTCAGCTTTTCTCGTGCAGCCCCCTTCCCCCACTTTTTCCTTAAAGAGCTGAAAATCTGCAGCACACAGTGGGTGTCCAGCTTATGCTGAGGCACCCACGAAAGCGATGAATGATGGATGCACTGGAGGAGGAAGCCTGGGGCGGAGATGGATACCACGCTGTTCCCTCCACTATCTCCAACTCTCCCTTGGACGTCACCTGGTTTCCTCTGAACTCCTGTCACCTGCTCAACTTTTTTCCATTCCTAGGGCTCTGGTTGAAGGGGTTCTTGTGTCTCACCAGGCTGTCACTACCTATGGCCTCCTAGCTCCGCTCTGTCAGCAAAGAGGTCTCTTTCTCCTACATGTCTTAAGTCACCCCTTCTCCCACACTGGCCTTCCCTTGCTTCCGGGATAAAGCCCAGCTCCTTGGTTTGGCGTTCAAGACTCCTTGTGTGTGACTACTCATCTCTGACCACACTCCCCCAACCCCCACTCTCAGCCCTACTAAACCATCACCTCAACTGCTTCCCATTGCTCTAGGGCACTGGGTCCTTCCACCTTTGCGCATGCTGTTCCCTCGGCCCGGGCTGCCTCTGCTTTGTCGGGTGAACGCCCGCCCTTCCTTAATGTCCAGCACAGATGACCGCCCTCCTGGGAGCCGTTTGACTACTTGCCCTTCCCGCCCCACCTGCGCCCCTTCCACGCCAAGGACGTCCCTTCCACAGCGAGGTTCGCAAGGTACGGCAGTCGCTCTGTGCAGGCCCCGCCCCCGGACCGCGCGATCCCGCCCCCGGCTCCCACCGGGCGCCGCGGCTTCCGGCTCTGGGCCGCGCGGGCCGGAAGTGTAGCGTTGCCATGGCACCCCTGCGGCGCCCGGAGGAGCGCCGAGCTGACTGACCGGTGGACCGGATCCGATCGACTGCACGAGGCGGAAGGTGAGGCTCAGACTTGAGGCCGGGCCCCGAAGAGCGGGGAGCGAGGAGGCCGAGCTGAACTGAGAGAGGGAAAAAGTGGACTCAGAGACCAGCTGAGGGGGCGGAGGCGGGGCCCAGGTGGGGTGTCCTCAGGAGACGTAAGTGGCCGGCACAGGGAGGCCAGAGCAGAAGTCTCTACAGGACTGGCTTTAGAAGTGACCGACCGGAAGGCCAGCAGAAGGAAGGGCCTTTCCCGGTGTGGCATGGTTTGCATTCTTGCAGCTTATGGGTCAGGCGGAAGCACCAGGATTATCTACTTTTTGGCAGGACGTTCAGGCTTGGCCTGGGCTGTGGAGGCGAGTTGGAGGAGAACCTGGAGCCTCTCTGGAAAGTCTCTTAAACTTTCAGGCGCCCAGCGACCTCACTTGTAGTGTGGGGGTCCTGGGCACCTCACAGATGGGGGTCCGGATGAGAAGTACTAAGTGAGGTGTTGCATGCCCGGCCCTGTGCTGTGCAGGGCGTTCCCTTGGGAGGTTTGGACTCCTGCTGCCCTGGCCAAAGGCTGCGGCGACCCTGGGATTACTCCCCAGGGCTGCAGAGGGGAGGCGTGTTCGGAGGCATTCCAAAGACCAGCCCTCTCCAAAGCCTGAGCCTGCCTTTTCTCCTTGGGCCTTTAAGTTGGGGTGCAGCTGGCCGTGGGGGCACCCCAGTACTCTTAATGTCTGTCTTGGCCCAGCAGCAAGCCTTCCTGGGCACGTGCGCCCCCACAGCCTCCCTGCGAGGTTGGGTTTCTCCGAGGGAAGTGTGAAGAAGCCTCATGCCGAGCTCTGCCACGTAGTCTACTCTAGAGGGCACCAAGGGGCCCCAGACCGGGGCCCGGTGTCCTCAGGGGCTGATAGCTGCTTGGAGGCGCCTGTGCAGAGGTCGGCTCCTTGCCCCTCTTGTGATGGAAGAGTGTGGCCTTGGACGGTCAGCTGCCTGCCCCGCTCCCCCAAGCCCTTGCTCAGAGCCGGCATGGGGAAGAGAAGCACTAGCAGGCCTCGCTTCCCTCCTGACGCCTGTCCGCAGCGGCTCCTTGCCTGGCTCTCCACTGGCCGGTCCCGGACTCATCCCTCACCGGCCTGGGGTGTGCCTAGCTGGCTGGCACCTAGGAAGGGGGCTCTTATGTCTGTGGGCTCAACATTGGGCTCTGCGTTCCAGGGGTTTCTGCACCTCTGCTCCCACTGGGTCCCACTGTGTGCACTTTGGGAACCTGCGTCTCAGGCAAACCCTCGGTGACCCAGCACGCTGTGCCTCTGTCACAGTCTGCCTGGTAACCAGAGCAAGACGTCTGGGTGGCAGTTCCAGGCTCTTAAAACCCCTGGCCCCGGCTTTCCCGCCCCTCCTTCAGCCAGACAGCCAGGCTGCAGCAGCTGCCCCCGGCCTGTCTTCTTGGCCCCATCAGGCCTGTTCCTTCATCCTTCTCACCTCAGCCAGAGAGCGTGACCTGAAATACAATCTGACTCTCGTTCTCTCCTCTGAGCCCTTTCTCACTGACTTCGGGGTCACGTGCGCCGGTCTTTGCACTAGCCCCGCTTCTGCCCCCTGACCCCAGCGGTCACTGCTCCATGCGTGTGCCGTGTACTCCCACACTGAACCCTGTGGGTGGTGGAAGGGAGAGAGCAAATCCCCCCCCCACCCCAGGCTCTGTGGTGTCAGTGGAGAACGGGGCCAGAGCATGGGGAAGTGTGGCTCTGCAGACATCTGCGGGAGGCGGGGGGTGACCTGAGGAGGACGACGCTCGGCTGCCGCCGGTGCCATGAGGCCTGACGGTGGGATTGGATTCTGGGCTTTTTCTTTCCTTGGCAGCCGTAACAAACACAGACTGGACAGATGGGTGCGGGCAGAGGAGGGCATGGGCGGTGGGGCCGCAGAAGTCCTGCTATGAAGGAGCCGAAGGGATTGGGGTCAGCTTGGACGGCGTGGAGCAGAGAGCCAGAGCGCTGGCCTCAGGTGGGGTGACTGGCTGCAAGGCGGAGGTGGACAGCCGGGTGGTGCTTCCACAAAAGGTCTCGAAGGGGCTCGAGTCCTGCCCCGTTCAGCCCTTCTTGCTGTGCCGGATTCCTGTGACCTCAGCCATTCTTCCATCTCGCTCCTGCTGCTTCACTGATTTTGTGTGACATACACTATAAGTTCCTAGGACCTGCTCCTGTTTTGGAAGGAGGTGAGGATGGCGTGCATGCAGGTGACCTCCAGGGAGACTCCAGGACCAGATGCAGGGTTGGCCTTGTGCAGAGCCTCGCCAGTCACTGCTGGGCCTCCTGTGTTTCCTTTGGGTGAAGCTGCAGGTGGGTGGGCAGTGGATGTGTCACCATGGCCCGTGCTGCATCTCAGTGCTGAGCCCAGCCCTGACAACCTTTCCATCGGAGCAGCTCAGCCACCAGCTCAGTCTCCTGTGTCACCTTGTGGGACCCCCCCAGGCCCCCAGTTACTGACTGCCTCTTGCAAGTCAGACTCTGGGCCCAGCTCTCAGGACACATGGTGTGTCAAACATTAAAATAGGGTGGAGAGATGGAGAGTGGCAGGGTGACTACAAAAGACCCCCTAGGAGGTCACATTTAAATTGTGACCAGCATTACAAAGGGCAGCTTGCTGTCCTGAGAGCTGGTGGGAGAGCTTTCTGCACAGAAGGAACAGCACATGCCAGGTGGGAGTGGCGGGGCAGGGGGCAGGGCCACACACATCCTGTGAAGGGCCACAAGTGAACATCAGGCTCTGTAGGCCATGTGGTCCCTGTCGTAGCCACATAGCTCTGCCGTTTTGTGGACAGGCACCCACGGGCAGTCTGTAAGTGAACGCTCTGTTCCGACATTTGAATTTCATGTCATTTTTATGTGTCACAAGAGTTCATCCATTTTTCCCTCAATAATTAAAACACATGAAAGCCATTATTTGCTCATGGGCCACACGAAAGCAGACGGCAGGCCATAGTCCGCTGACCGACCCCTGTGCCAGACGCCAGAGATGCCCTGTGTCTAACCCCTTGAAGCCTCGCGAGAGCCTGAAAGGGAAGCGCTGGTACCACCGCACTGGCAGGCGAGGGGACCGAGAGGAGGGCAGGGACTGACCGATGCCCCCACCAGCTGGTTGCGGAGGGTCCCCCGGAGCAGGAGGCCGCTGAGTGGGCAGTTGGGCGGGACGCTGGGGGGAGATGGCACGGAAGCAGGCTCGGCCATGCACGGTTTGGAGGCCAGGGCAAAACTTTGGAATTGTATACTTTTGTTGTTTACGTTATCGAGATACAGCATCCGTATTTTAAGTGTATAGTTTGGTGGATTTTGATAGATGTGCACATCCTGGTAAACACCAGAGTCAGATGTAGAGCCTCTGTGTCGCCCCGAAAGTTCCCTCTGCACCCAGTCAGTCCTCCCTTCACCTGGCCCCGGGCACCCTTGTCTGCTTTCTGATTCTGTAGATTCAGTGTCTCAGAGTTTCACTTGAGTGAGATCACGTGAACACTTTTGTGTCTGACCGCTTTCACTGGACAGCATTCTGGAAATTCAGGGGTGGCTCTCTTTCCTGTGTGGTTTGGTATTCCAGTGTGTGGGTGTCCTGCCAGCTAGCCTACGCACACACCTGTTGGGGGCATTTCGGTTCTTTCCCGTTGGGACCATCGTGAATAAAGAAAGCCACTCTGAACACTCAGGGACCCGAGTCTATGTGTGGACTTGTGCTTTATTACTCTCGGGTGGGGATGGTAGATTGAAGTGTGGTTAACGTCACGAGAAAGTGCCAAACTACTTTCCAAAATGGCTCTACATTCATTTCACATGCCCAGCTGCTGCATATTCTCTTTAATTCGGAGTTGTCATCCTTTTAAAAGTTTAGCCTTTTTCGTGGGTGTGGAGTGGTGGCTCACAGCGGCTTTAATTTGCATTTCTCTAACGGCGCATGGTGTGGAGTGTCTTTTCCTGGGCTTATTTTACTGGCCATTTGTGTATCTTCTTTGTGAAGTGTATATTCAGATCTTTCACCCTTAAAAAATGGCTTGTTTGTCTTACCAACTTTTGAGAGTTCCTCTCCTCGCGGATTCGGGTGGGCGTCTCGTGGTGTACTCAGTCTGTGCTGGCCTCTGAGTTTCCACTGGTGTCTCCTGCAGCGGGTGAAGTCCTCCAGGGACTTCAGTAGTGTGAAGTCTGGTTTGCCGGTTTTTCTCGTGGTGAAGGACCGTCGTCTTCTGTGTGGGGCCCGGTCGTCCCAGCACCATGTCTCGAAGACCGTCCTTCCTCTTTGTGTCACCTTAGCGCCCTGTGGGAGATCAGCCAATGGCGTGCGTGTGCATCTGCTTCTGGAGTCTGTTTTATTCATTGATCTTACGCTAACATCACACAGATTTGATTGCTGTAACTTTATGTCTTGAGGTCAAGTACTATGAATTCTCCATCTTGGTTTCTCTTTTTCAAGTCATTTGGGCTCTTCAAGATGTTATACAGTTCTATATAAATTTTAGAATTAGCTTGTCGATTTCTACAAAGAGGCTTAGTGGGATTCCAATCGGGATTGTTAAAATTGGCATTTTAACAATATAGAACATGGCATACATATTTCTCTATCTGTTTAGGTCTCTGTGTTGTCTATTGCTGTGTAACAAATTATGCTAAAAGAGAATGGCTTAAAACATTTATTATCTCACACTTGCTGTGGGTCAGGATTAAAACATGGCTGAACTGGGCTGTCCTGCTTCGGGGTCCCCTGTGGTTGCAGTTAGGGTCATCAGCCAGGTCTGCGTCATCTGCGGGCTAGACTGGGGCTGGAGGGCCTGCTCACGTGGCGGTGGGCGCGGGGCCTTGGCGGCTCCCGTGGGCCTTCGCAGAGACTGCTAGTGTCTCAGCCTGGCAGCTGGTCTCCACTGCCAGCTGTCCAAGACGCGAGGAGCAAGAGGCCGCCTCACCCCTGGTGGCCTGCTCCCCGAAGTTATGCATCGTCATTCCTACTTTTTTCATGTTTGTTAGAAATGAGTAAGTTCAACTCGTACTCAAGAGGAAGGAGATTAGACTGCCTGTCGAAGGGGGCACCAAAGTATACCATGTTTTCGGTAGTAATTTTGTGTGACACCTGCATTTGCCAGGTGCAGAGCCATACAGTTGGTGTGGACGTGTTGCGCTTGCGACCTGCGAGCTCGCTGGGTGTGCTTGCTTATTTATTTCGGCAGTCCTGTGCGGGTTCCCAAGGGTGGTCTCCACGTCTTTCTGTGTCCCTTCCTGTGTCCCTCCCTCTGCACCTTCCTCTCCCGTCTGTGCTTGTCATTTCTCGCCTTAGCGTGCTGGCTGAGACCTGAGGCACAGGACTGGGAAGCGGTGGTGACGGTGGATAGTGTGACCTTGCTCCCAGTCCCGGGGGAGGTGTCCATTTCCCCCTATCAGGCGTGACTTAGCCGCAGGTTTTTGGGGATAGCCTTTATCAGGTTGAGGAATTTTCCTCCTATTCCTTCTTTTCTAAGTTCCGCGCGCGCGCGTGTGTGTGTGTGTGTGTGTGTGTGTGTGTGTGTGTGTGTGTGTGTGTGTGACACAGCAGTGCCAGCACAAAGACTGCCGCTCGGCAGGCCTCTGGCACTGGCCCGCAGGGCAGGGTCCTCCTGGCTGTGGTCTGGACGGCCGTGGGGCTGTCCCCATCTCTCAGCCTGTCCCTCCGGGTCTCACTGCGACCTGAGAGTGTACGGGCTCCGCTTCGTTCAGGGTTGTCCCCACTGTTCCTGGCCTTGTGCAGTTCGTATAAAATGCGGAATTAGTTTATGAGTTCCAGATACAACTGCTGGAGTTTCAGTAGGGGTCATATTGAGTCGTGGATGAATTCGGGGTGCATGGCTTCATTCCAGGACTGGGTCTCCCGACCCAGGAGCGTCTGCCCTTTGCTTGGGGCCTCAGGTCCTTCATGAGACTTTGTGGTTCTCTGTGTAGGGGTCTGGCCATCTTTTGTGACACCTGCTCCCAGACGTTGGTGCTTTGGGCACTGCGATGCTTGCTGTGAGTCGTATCATCGTGACCCTAACTGTTGCTGGAATTCCTAAATGCAGTTGGTTTTTGTACGCTAACCTTGTAGCCACCAGTATCACTCTTTCTCATAATTTTCTGTAAGGTCCCTCGGATGTTTGTCATACACGGCATGTCATTTGCACATCATGAGTTTTTCTACCCTTCCTGTCCTGACTCCTTTTTGTCGTTTGTCAGTGGTGCTGGCTGGAACCTTCAGTGCGATAGGGACAGAAGTGGTGGCAGCACAGGTCCCGTCTCACCCGGCGCTTGCTGTGTTCCCCGAGGTTAGGACAGTCGCCATGCCGATGGGGAGCCCATAGGAGGGAGGGGGTCCTGCGGTGGGAGTGGGCACGGGTCTGCTAGTGGGGTAGATGGAGCGCAGTGACCCTGGGATGGCTCAGCGGCAGGCGGCTTGTTCAGGGAGGGGTACATCCTGTGCTGATGGCTTCGGTCTTGTCAGGCCCTCAGCACTTGGCGTCAGGACCAGGAGGAGGCAAGAGAGCCGCGCGGCTGCCATGAGCATCAGGGCTGTCGTGCGTCCTATGCTTGTCTGATGGCGGCCGCCCACCAGCAGCTCTGCTGGCGTGTCCACATCTGGGCCGTCGTGATGCGTGGGGGCCAGAGGGCAGGCGATGATCGACGAGACCGCGTGGGGGCCCTGAGTGCTGGAGCGGGTCGGAAGGGGTGAGGGGCAGAGAACGGGATGGGGGGAGACCTACTAGAGGCGACAGGGTTCAGAGTGTGATTGGGACAGAGGACGAGGTCACTGGAAGGAAGAAGAGGTCAAGGCTGAGGGGCAGGGAGGTGGAGGGTGGTCCACGCGAACGTGAGACCCCCAGGAATTCAGACCCGATGCAGCGGTGGGAGAGATGCCCACAGCAGGGGCTGGCCTGGATGGTGGGTGCAGCCCATGGCTCGTGTCAGCTTGGGCTCCTGGGGAGAGGGGGCTCAAGCCACAGTAAGGGACGGGGTGGGTGCCCCACTTCCAGGGGGTGAGGTGGGCAGACAAAAAGCAGCCTCCTAGAAGGCTGGCGGGAAGGGCCAGTGGAGGCCTTGAGGGACCAGACTTAGATGTGGGGTGGGCGGGGTGAGGGTGCAGCCACCTCCAGGGGCGGGTTTCAGGAGCCCTGCTCTGTGCAGCCTCTCAGGCCCGCCTCCCCTCCCCAGGTTTTGAGGAGGGAGGCCCCAAGACACCCCTTCCACAGGCACCCCCCATGGGGGCTTCTGCTGAGTCAAGTTACCTCCTGACCCCTTTTCTCTTAAAAGAACAAAAAGAGTGCCTTCCTCTGAGAAAGGTCACCTGCAGGGCACACCTGCAGGGCAGTGTCTGGGGGCGGTGTGTCGGGTCTGAGGCCGTCCATCCTTTGGGGCTGGCGGCTGGCGTCTCTGGTCCAGCCACATGTGCTGTCCAAGCTCATGGCCCAAGTGCATCCTACTTATAATTTGCATGTGTTAATTATTAGGGAAGGGAGCGTTTGTCTGGGTGCTTTCAGTGGTATCTGTGTCCTTTGTCCCGTGAGCTGTCTTGCCCTTTGTCCTGTTGTCATTGCCCCAAGGACCACTCTGTCACCTTTACTGTAAACGTTTTTGCCCAGTTGACCGCCTGACTCTGACAAGGCCTGTCTCTGACCTTGTCGGTTTGGTTTTGTTTTCACAGTGCAGACATTTTTAAACTCTCGCGTCATCAGATTTATCCGTTTTCTTTTCAGTTTTGGACTTTGGTCAAGCTGAGAGAGGCTCCTCTGTGCCGGGCTCCCACAAGTGACCCTCCAGCTCCCTTCTCGTGCCCCTTGGTTTCACTCTTTCTCATGGCCACGTCTGTGACGTGTCTGGAGTGGGCTTGGTGCGAGGACAGAGGGGACGCCCTGCCCGGCTTTTCTAGGCGGCACCTGCCGTGCGTCCCACGTGGCCCTTCCCCCTGCACCTGGTCTCCCTCTCTCACCTCCGCTGACCACTGGCTCCTGGACACTTACTTCCAGGCTTCTTGGCCCTGGCTTGCCCTGGACAGTACCGGGTCAGCCTCATCTTACCACTTCGCTCTCTCCTGTCCGTTCCCTGCTGGATGGGCGTGTACGCCTCGGTGTCTCTCCTGTGAGGCCCCCACCGCCCAGTCTTATCACACCCCTCATTTGTGTGGGTGCTGTTGGCCCCAGGCTTGCTGGCCTCCTTGGCAGGAGGCGGCCTGGACGGCCAGCAGGCGTGCATGCCGCCTCTCCCGAAACAGCACATCACGTGGTTTCGAAGAGGCTGACCTTCAATGGGCTCAGAAGTCATCAGAAATGACCCAAAGCGCGTGTCCCCTGTTCACCTGCCTCTGCTGCGATGACCTTTCGTCACTTCTCGTGCATCTTCCTCTTGTTTCTTTTATAGGTGTAGATGCACATTCTTAATTTATCCCTTTCTTCCATAAAAGGTAGCATGACACTTGGATTTTGTCCCTTCCTGTCACTGAGCAAACCCCGCTTCTTGGTGGCCGTCCGTGGTGGGGCACCAGAGGTGTCCTGTGCAGCCGCAGGGCCTCGTTCGGTCAGACGCAGGTCCTTTCCAGTGTTTTCTGTCATAACGGTGCTGCGGCGAGGGGCAGACTGGAATTAGTTTCTGGAGTATTCTACGACAGGCCTGCGGGGGGCAGGTGGGTGCACCCTGGGGATGGCCGCTCTGTCCTCGCACAGTGTCGCCATGGTGAGGGTGCCCACGGCAGCACCCGATGTGCTCTTCCCATGGCCTCCCGCCCAGCGGCCTCGCCGTCCCTGCTGCCCTCACGTCCTTGGCCCCCCGCCCCCAACTGGCTGCTCCCTGGGCTTGTCGGGGAGAGCCTGCTGCTGCCACAGAGCCGCCCACCTCGGGCCTCACCTGGCTCACTGGTGTATGTCTTGCTCCCCTGGTGAGGACAGGGCCTGTCCTCGCACCCCCCCCCGTCCCTGTCCCCACCCCCCGGCCAGGCGGCGCAGGGGAGCGAGGAGGGCGCGTCGGGCGACGAGAGGCGCAGGTCCTGCCTCCTGGGTCGGGGTCGGGGCCGCTGCCGCGCTCACGTCAGGGTCTCTGGTGGAGTAAGATGTCCACCCCTTGGCCCACCGAGCTGCGCCTGGCCTGGCCCCTCCGCCCTCCGACACTGACTGAGGCCCCTTCCAGGTGCCGCTCGAGGCTGAGGAGACCGACGGGAGGGTGCCGTCCGCGAGCTGTGCCCTCGTAGGGCAGACAGTGCCCGCGGCTTCCGACCTTCGCCTGCCCTAGGAGCCGCTGTGGGCACGCGTGCCTGAGGGCTCGCGGGCTGTGGGCACGGCCGTTGTCGCAGGTGAGCCACGCCGGGGGGAGAGGTGCTGGCTCGGCCCTCAGGTGAGGTTCAGCGTGTCCCTAGCGGCCTGGCTGCGGTGGGTTCTATGTGGCAGTCCCCACCCCATGCCCAGACACCCCCCGAAACAGGGCAGTCAGAGCCACGCCAGGGTCCTCAGTCCGACGTGTCAGAGCCCCTCACCCATGGCACATAGACGCCGTGTCTGTGTGTCCGCAGAATGCAGCGCACGCTGTGCTTTTCCTGGAGAGAGCGGCATCTGGGGAGTCGCCCACGTTTTGAAATTATAGCGACGCCACAAGTAACACCAGCTCTTTTGACTGCAAGTTACAGGGATCTCCTCCAGGGAGCGTGGGCGGGCGCTGGGCCTCCTGCTCCCCCTGCCCCTTCGTCTCCCCGTCTCTGAGCAAGGCCAGGCCCCTGTCTCTGGGAGGAAGGTGACACCCTTGCCCTCCTCTCTGAGTCTCACACCGATGCTGGGGAGCGGGCACGAGAGGCAGCCTGGCACGGTGTTTAACAGGACTGCACTTAGGGGCAGCCTCAGTTTCCCCCAAGCGGGGATGATGACGGACCCGTCGGGGGAGGGCTGCAGTGGCCGGTTTGGAGGGCGCCGCTGAGACGGCCGGCAGGGATCTGTCTGTACCGGGCCCAGGTCTGGGCCCTGGGCGCTTGTCCCAAAGGCCAGGGGTCCGGCAGTGCTCTCGGCACAATCTTCGGGAAGGCCCAGTGGTGCTGGCGAAGAGGATGGGGAGCAGCGGCCGCCGTCCTCCCAGGAGGCTCCTCCCACTCAGTCCCACACTTGCGTGCAGCTGGCCTGGGCATAGGGCTAGGGACTGGAAAGAGTCGCCCAGATCTTTCACTTGACGTTTCAGGGAGACTTGGGGGCAGGTCTGTGGACAGAGGCAGAAGCTGGCCTGCTTAGCGTCCCCTCGGCCTGGGTGGCGTAGTAGCCACTCCATGGAGCTGGCCTGGCCTTCCTGGCTTAGCTGGGGGGCAAGTCTTCAGCTCTGGCGGGCACTTCGGGTATTGGGGCTGGGAGGAGAAGGCTGAGTGAAACTTGGTGACGGCAGCGGGCAGGTTCGGGGGCTGGGGGCATGACAGCTCAGGGCTCGTACTGGGGGGCCATGTCCTGGGCCCTGGGCTGCAATGGGTCCCAGGACTCCCTGAGGCTGCCTTGGGCACCTCCTTTCTCTCAGAGGAGGTAGTCAGGCTGCTCAGGGCCCCATGGAGACGGTTTCCAGGTGGCCCCCAGCAAGACGTGCCGCTTAAAGAGGCCGGAGAGAGCCTGGGGCCTCGGGAGGGTGGCCCAGCAGAGTTGGGCTGAGGACCTGTGTGTGCGGCCCCGGGTGTAGGGGGCCGTCAGGGGCCAGGTGTGCAGCCTCAGCCCTGTGTCCTGTCCTCAAACTGGAGCCAGGGCAGGGCGGTGGGCGCAGGTGGGGGCAGCAAGGCTCTCCAGGTCCTGCTCTGTGGTGAATGTCACAGACGCCTTCAGAATGAGAAAACGAGAGAATGAATGTGCTCAATTTGAGGAGCTGGTCATTGCTTTAGGTTGTTTTCTGTAGAACATGGTCACCGGGTCCCTTTCCTCCTATAAAAGGGTGGGGTGGATGGCATCTCCCAAATCTCATTAAACTTAATCAAGTCAGGCAGTGGCTCTGATGCTGGTGCCCATCGTGGAGCAGCAGGGCAGGTTCCAGGGCCCTGCGAGCCCGGTCTGCCGGGAGCCTTGGCCCGCAGTGGGACAGCTAGGGGCGGCCTGCTCTGTGGGTCCTCCCCCTCCCGCGGCTGGAGACTGGCCGGCAGAGGGCAGTCTGCGCCCCTCCTTGGCCTTCATCTGTTGGGGTCAGCTTCCTAGGTAGCTCCCGAGACTGATGGCAGGGTGTCAGTCCCACTTCGCAGCCTGTGTTTGGGGGTTCTAGCTCTCTGGCAGGGAGGGGCATGAGGGGAGCTGTGAGAGGCCAGCAGGGAAGGAGAGTCTGGCAGAGGGTTTGAGAGCTCAGCCACCCCCCAGGTGTGCTCTGGAAGCTGGCGGGGTGCGTGCAGGATCTGGACCCCTGCCTGTCTCCGTCCAGGGAAGCTGTGCCCAGAGGGCAAAGGCGGGGCTTGGGGCCTGGGCAGGGAGTCTGGACAGAGTGTCTGCCCTGACCCCAGCAGTCTGCAGTGGTGGCCAGCCGGGGACAGCCTTCCTGGTGCGGGAGTGTTGTTGGGAACATTCTTTCCTGGGCCTTGCTGGTCCGCAAGCCCACTCACTCCCAGGAATCCTCCAAGGCCAGGCACTCACTGAGAGCCCCGAATACGAGCCTGGACAGAGGCTGGGTCAGTGTCTGCGTGACCACAAGGCCCGGCCTGGCGAGAGTGGGGACTCCTGCTGAGCTGTGGGCGAGCACCTTCTGGGCGGAATACAGCCAGGGCCTCCTGAGGCGTGTCCTGTGACCATGCCACCGAGCACACCAGGGGCTCTGGGCTGGACAGGTCATAGTGGGTTCCATGGGGCCATGCCCCAGCCAAGCTGTCTGCCTGTCCCAACAGATCCAAGCCAGGCCGGCCACCTAGGCCTGCGTCACACGTTCAGACCTTTATTACAGCCCAGGGCGACTGGGCATTGACTAGCCGGGTCAGGAAGCCCAGGGAGGAAGAGGCCCAGATGCTGAGTGGTGAGGAGCTGGGCTGTTGGTCAAGATCGGCTGGGCCCACTGTGGCCAAGAGGCAGGGAAGCCTGAGGCCTGGGGGCACGCAGGTCAGCAGTGCTTTGGGGACCAGGCCAGAGCCCGGAGCCTTGAGAGGCTGCAGAGAACAACTCCTGAGGCCAGTGCCGGGCCCTGGGGGATCAGCGCCAGAGGGAAGGCCTGCCTCAGCTGGCGGCCACTGGCCCAGCCCCTCAGCACCCTGTGGGACAGCGCTCACTACGGCTCGGGCGTACCTGGGGCCTGACCTGATGTGCTTTATCTTCCTTCTCAGGCCAACAGGAGCCGCCTGGTCACCCACCCAGGGCTCCTCCGCAGGGCACGGCCTCCCGAAGACATTGCCAGGCTCAGTGCACTCCGGGTCTGGCCGCAGAGCCTCAGCTCCACCAGGTCTGGGAGCTCAGGGCTCCGAGCACACACACGCCCTGTCCTGGCCTCTCCTGAGCCCGCCCTCCAGCCGCACCCCCTCATTAGGCTGAGACAGTGACCCTGGAAGACACACGGGAGGAGGGAGGGGAAGGGAAGGCCCCGTCATGGCTGCTCCCAGGCCCCTGCCAGGCTCCTGAGGCCTGGAGGGTGCGGCGCTTCTAGGACAGCAGGGCCCTCTGCCCGTCACCCTGCCCTCCCTTCCCTTTCGGCACGGTGTCAGGGAGCTGAGGCTCTGTCGTCAGGGTGGCCAGCCGCTCCCCCAGGCTGTGCGCCTTGACCCTGGGAGGGGCCCTGCCTGTGCTGCCGGGGCTCCAGGGACGCAGGCTCAGTTGCCCTCCCACGCTGTGTGTTTCTGCCTGGGTCTGGGCACCGCCTGGAGCCTCCTGACACAGCCTTGCTAGGGGCAGAGTGCACCGAGCCTCTGCGAGGGCATGCCCTGGAGGGCGCCAGTCCAGACAGCTGCCCCACCCCTCCGGCCCAGCCCGGCCCCCTTGCTCCCCTATCTGGTGCCCCGAGCAGCCCCCCTGGTCGGCAGCCCCCGCCATGGCCGAGCACCTGGAGCTCCTGGCAGAGATGCCCATGGTGGGCAGAATGAGCACACAGGAGCGGCTGAAGCACGCCCAGAAGCGCCGTGCCCAGCAGGTGAAGATGTGGGCCCAGGCTGAGAAGGAAGCCCAGGGCAGGAAAGGCCACAGGCAGCGGCCGAGGAGGGAGGCGGCCGTCAGCGGGCCGCAGAAGCGGGTCCTCTTCCCTGCCAGCGTCACCCTTCTAGAGGCTGCCGCCCGAAATGACCTGGAGGAGGGTGAGTGTGGTTGGCCCTGGGGCCATGCGCTGCTGGCAGCCCTGGTCCCCCGCCAGCCTGGTGCACGCCTTGTGAGGCCGTCTCATGGGGACCCAGGGTCTGGCCCAGCTCCCTCAGCTGTGGGCTCCCGGTGACGGTGACAGGGCAGCATGCGGGGCCCTGCTGTGGGCGTGCGGCTCCAAGGAGCCTGCAGTGCCCAGGGTGTGGCTCTGCTGGGCTGGCGTGGCCCGGAATCTTCCACCTCTCGTCAGGAGGGTCCTGGCCGCCGCCTCTGGAAAGGAGGCCAGTAGCGCCCACCTGGGCACGCCGGCCCCGGTCTCCCCCCTTCTCTGCCTCCTGGCTGGAGGCCAGGGCTTAGCCTTCGGCAGACTCCTCGCCCCTTCCACACTCTTGGCCCCTCTGCTCTCCCAGAGAGGCTCTTACGGGCTCTTCTGCCCCCTTCCAGGGCCGGGGCGCCCGCTGCAGAGCCTGGGGTGCAGAAGGCCAGGAGGCAGGGGACATGGAGGGCGTGGTTGGGTGTGCCACAAGCCAGGGCACAGGGAAGTGTGGGAAGGAGGGTGTGTCCTCATGTTGCTGTGGAGCATTGCTGGGGAGTGCTAGGAGGTCCCAGGTGACTTCGGCGAGAGCCTGGAACGAGCTAGTACCGCTGAAGAGAAGTGAGGGCAGAGACCAGCTCTGCTCATGGGGAGACCCTGGGGGGAGCAGGCCGGGGTGCCTCAGGCCCCCAGTCCAGGCTACGGAGGGGCAGGGAGTCTGCTGTGGGGAAACGGCTCTAGGTACCAGGGAAGGGGCGTGGGGACAGAGCGACTGCCAGTGCGGGGGCTGGACGAGGCATGGGAAGGGCTCGGGGAGCAGTCAGGAGCCCAGCAGGGTCTGCTCTCAGACAGGAGGGGTTTGTTCTGGAAGGCTGAGGGCTGGGGTGCCATGGCTCGAGAGGGGTGTGTCCTGCTGGGGGCTGGAGGCAGACAGATGCCAGTGCCGGCCCCTGAGCCCTGGGCATGGGCTCTGGCGCCCTCCCTGCGCCCCCCGTACCATCGTCCTCCTCGTCCTCTGCTCCCCTGGCTGCAGCCCCCCAGTCAGCCTAGGCCCTGAGGCGCGGGACTGACCACGCCTCCCCCTTGTAGTCCGCCAGTTCCTCGAGAGCGGAGTCAGCCCTGACCTGGCCAATGAGGATGGCCTGACCGCTCTGCACCAGGTCAGCCGAGTGGGGGTTGGGGGAGGGTACGGGCCGGAGCTGGTGCTCAGGCTGCCGCGTTTGCAGAGCTGCATCGATGACTTCCGGGAGATGGTGCAGCAACTCCTGGAGGCCGGGGCCAATGTCAACGCCCGCGACAGCGAGTGCTGGACACCCCTGCATGCCGCAGCCACCTGTGGCCACCTGCACCTGGTGGAGCTGCTCATTGCCCGGTAGGGCCCAGTAGGAGCAAGTGTGGCAAGTGTGGCAAGTGTGCCTCTGTCGGGGTGGGGCTGCGGCCACCAGGGCTGGCAGGGCTGATCTTACAGAATCAGGTATCTCGTGCCTAGGCAGTCTGCGCTTGTGTCCTGTGCATCCACTTGCCTTTGCTACTGCCCGTGTCCTGGCATGGACAGCAGGGCCTGGGCAAGGGCTGCAGATGCTGCGACCCCAAGGGAATGAGCATGTGTGGTCATCTGCCCACCTGGCTGCTCACCCCGTGTGTCTTCCCACCAGGGGCCATTAGGAATTTGGGAACTCCTGAGGATAGGCCTTGACCTCCAGCTCTGGCCTCCTGCCATGCCCCC